GGTATATTGTAAATGTGGCCCTAAATATTGACAGGTGCGACTTTTTCGTTTTTTTGGGGTTTTTTCTTTGTCTTAGTTAGAGTTTTATGGCAGTCGCTACACAATTAGGTCATATAAGTGTCGGAGATTAGAAGAGTTACAAGATAAAAGCATACACAAAAAAGGAGGAGAAATAAAGACGACAGTAGTTTGATAGGAGAGAATGAGCAAACCATACCAGAGCACCCGCCAACCACCCATAGGGAGTGATCGAATATCGTAAATATTGGCAGCGGTGATGATATTGGTGGGGGTGGTGATGATATATAATGTAAATGTTGTTGGGTGTGACGGATTATCGTAAATTTTCATGGGTGTGACGGATTATCGTAAATGTTGTCCGCGGCGGTGATATTGATGGGGGTGGTGATGGTATCATAAATGTTCATGGGTGTGAAGGTATATCGCAAATGTTCATGGGTGTGACAGTGTATCGTAAATGTTCATGGGTCTGACAGTGTATCGTAAATGTTCATGGGTGTGACAGTGTATCGTAAATGTTCATGGGTGTGACAGTGTATCGTAAATGTTCATGGGTGTGACGGTGTATCGTAAATGTTCATGGGTGTGGCGGTATATCGTAAATGTTGAGCGCGGCAGTGATGTCAGCTCACTCACCTTGACCATGGTGTCTCCATCAAAAAGCGAGCCCTGCATGATGCTGGAGGAAAGCTCTCCCATGAGACTGTAGAACTCATCTGCACTCGAAGCTCCCATGATACGTCTAGGGGTGGGGAGGAGTCATGACACAAAGGGGGTCAGAATGCGTCGTGGCAGATATGAAAACGGACATCACTATGACATTACTAAACAATTAAAAATTCGGAGCAAGTTTGTTTTTTCCTTCCTGCCTTGTGGGAAGCCAGAGGACACACACATTTTCCCTCTCACAATCACATACATACTCTCTCTCTATCTCTCTCTCTGTGTCTCTCTGTCTCTCTCTCTCTCGCTCGCTCTCGCTCTCTCTTACACAACCAGGTTTGATATCTGTACCGTCTTTATTATGGTTCTGCCTCGTTCTTGCTATTTTTCAACATTGAAAGAAAGACCCTTATCATGCACAGGTGATTCTCTCTAACTCTGAGATAAACACTTTCATGCAAACCCTTCAGACGTGAAACACACAATAATAATAATATAGATAATAATAAATAGCATTTGTATAGCGCATATCCCCGCTCAACAGCAGGCTCTAATCGCTTTACACTA